TACCATATTTTTTGGAATATAAGACACACTTTCCCCCCTTCTAAAAGAGGGTGAAAATTTGGGTGCGTCTTATATATAGAATGTAGTCTAACCCTTCGGCCTCTGCGCATCCTCTCAAACCGAACTTCTGGAGGCTGCAAACTGAGCCTCTCAAACGGAGCTTTGGGAGGGTGAAAAAGCAAGTCGCAGAAGCCAAAATAGCAACCCGGAACAGCTACTGCTTTGTCGGATCGGTCCCATGCTTTTCCTATTGTACTGCAATGTACCCTGCAATGATCAGCTGCATTTTTGAAGCTATGTATCTGCCGCAACGAGGCTCGTGCGAACGTAGTGAGTGCTTACATGCACATGCTCACAATCAGCAAATTTACTAAAGTTCACCTCTGGGAACAACTGATTGGGAGAATTCTGGGAGGCCAATCCACCCGCCAATTAGCTGCTTGTCCTGAATCAGGCTAATGTTCTGATGCTGACCAGGCTGTTTGCTAAGGATGCTAGCCTGATAATATGGATGGATGCTGGTAGGCAGAGGCAGAATTTTTTTTCTTATTTTCCTCCCCAAAAACTGAGGTGCATCTTATACTCCAGAGCATCTTATACTCCGAAAAATACAGGTAATTTGTTAAAATGATGTAAATATCATTAAGTGATACTGTTTTCATAATATAAGTAGTCCCCGAGTTATGAGTATTCATTCAGTGACCACTGATTGCAGGGATTTATGTTCAGTCCTCGAAGTGTGATAAGACTTTGTGATAAGCAGTTTGTGTAATGAAGGAAAAGCCATGGGAAGCACGGATCTAAATATTGCTTTATCTAAAAGAAGAGTCACTGGGTGGAGTGAGAGATTCTTTATGTGGAGAATCCTAAAGTATAGTTAATCTTATATAGCAAAAAACATATTCATAGAAAAGATTTACATTTTCAACTCTGAGGTTCTTATTGCTTCATGTTGTTCTCTGGTATACCTAAAATTGTTTCCTGGTATATCTAACTATCTGCCAAACTCAGGTTAGCTAGCAAGGGGCAAATTGTCACTTTGAAATTTTCATTCCTAAGGAGTAAGTCTAAACATTCTATTACATGAACTAATTGTTTTCCTGCAAACGTGAGACACTTATATTGTCCATTTAAAGAGCTAGTAAATAACAAAATATAAAATATACCATTTTCTGATAAAAGTCCACTAAGCCCTCCCTTCAAAAGTTATGCTTCCAGTCTTCCATTTAAATTGGGTTGCCGTTTCCACCATCAGCCAAGATTGTAAGCACTTTTGAAAAAAGAATTCCATTATGGAGCAATATTAAAATACATTTCTGTGTAAATAAGTTTCAGAAACAAAAAGTAACATGGCATTTTTAGCAGTTTTAAAAGACAACAATGTGATGCTGTGGTAGCATTTACATTTATTTCAGACAGTGAAAGAAGGCAAAAAAGGATCAGGCATCCTTAACATGATATAAATTGATAAGTAAGACACATGGTAATGCAATGATGAGCCTATTCAATATATCTTGGACTTTTAAAAGTGAATTTTAATAAACTCAGAAAATGAAAAAAGATAGGATTGAGCTTATGAATGATAAGAAATCTCTATAACTTCCCAAGATCAGATGAATTGCACTTGGAGTATTGAAGGAATATCTTCTGATGGCCAAACCTTATAAGTATTCTTCAGAAATTCTGGATAATGGGCAAGGTGCTAGCTGCTGGAAAAATAAAGTACCTTAAAATGGGAATTGGGGAAAGAAATAATCTAGAGAACATAGAAAAGTCATTCTGACATTTTAAAAATAGGAAAAGTCTAGAGCAGGTTCCTAATGTGCTGTCCTGCTCACATACTGTAACCCGACAAATGCACGCCTGACAATAGCGCAGCGTCAAAACCGCGGCGATAAAACCGTGACATTAACAGCGCGCCCACAAAGGAGCACTGACAAAAGAGCGCCGACAGAAGCGTGATTAGGGTTAAGGTAAGGGTTAGGGTGAGGGTAAGGGTTAGGGTTAGGGTTAGG